GAAATCGCTGTCAACATGGAATCGGGGTCGAGGAATCGATTGAGACCATTTACAAGCCAATCGGACGGTAACTTTAGGCTGTAGAGCGTTCCCCGTCCTTTGACCTTGACCTTGACCTTGAAGGTCATGACCTAGTGACCTGGAAATCGCTGTCAACCTGCAATGAGGAACGAGGAATCGAATGAGGGACTTTTCATCAAAATCGGTTCACTGGTTCTTGAGGTATTGCGTTTCCCGTCCGAATATCGAATTTTTAGTTTGATATTCGCGAACCTTGACCTTGACCTTGAAGGTCATGACCTAGTGACCTGAAAATGGTAGTCAACCTGGAATCGGGGTCGAGGAATCGATTGAGACCATTTACAAGCCAATCGGACGGTAACTTTAGGCTGTACAGCGTTCCCCGTCCTTTGACCTTGACCTTGACCTTGAAGGTCATGACCTAGTGACCTGGAAATCGCTGTCAACGTGGAATCGGGGTCAAGGAATCGATTGAGACCATTTACAAGCCAATCAGACGGTAACTTTAGGCTGTAGAGCGTTCCCCGTCCTTTAACCTTGACCTTGACCTTGAAGGTCATGACCTATTGACCTGGAAATCGCTGTTAACCTGGAATCGGGGTCGAGGAATCGATTGAGACCATTTACGAGCCAATCGGACGGTAACTTTAGGCTGTAGAGCGTTCCCCGTCCTTTGACCTTGACCTTGACCTTGAAGGTCATGACCTAGTGACCTGGAAATCGCTGTCAACCTGGAATCAGGGTCGAGGAATCGATTTAGACCATTTACAAGCCAATCGGACTTTAACTTTAGGCTGTAGAGCGTTCCCCGTCCTTTGACCTTGACCTTGACCTTGAAGGTCATGACCTAGTGACCTGGAAATCGCTGTCAACCTGCAATGAGGAACGAGGAATCGAATGAGGGTCTTTTCATCAAAATCGATTCACTGGTTCTTGAGTTATTGCGTTCCCCGTCCGAATATCGAATTTTTAGTTTGATATTCGCGAATATCAATGTGCTGCTCAATTGATGGACGTCGGGCCATAGCATAAAAACGGCGCGCCGCAGGCGCGCCAAAATTTGGGAACCTGTAGGGAATTTACTGAAGTTTGTTGCGACAAAGTTTCAAAAAAAATTGGTCTGAAAATTTTTGAGATATCGAGGTTTTAGTGACGTCATGATTTCTGAGTTTTCGACCAAAAACGGCATATGTTCAAAAAATCATATAAAATCACAGAATAGACATACAGACATGCCGTAAACGCCATTAGACTGCCAATACCATAATCAATCAAATGGCTATCTTCGATTATTGATTATCGTTCCGCATTTTCCAAAATCTTGAACTGAATCTTGGCAATTTCTCGTGACTACTTCACAAGTCACGACCATGATACATGCATTTCTTAAATTGAACTTTTTGAACCAAACACGTACACATATGATAAAATGAATGTCACCATCGTGTTCTACGCCCCAAATTACCCGTAAAACATATGTCACAGGCTGCGAATATCAGTTTTGATTTTCGGGGATATGTGCCTACCCGGTTGACCTGACTTGACCCTGACCTCTGCTTGACTGACCCCTACATGGAGCTTACACTCTTGTAGGCCTTATATGAAGGATTGTGCACCGTTTTGACAGAGTTTATGACGAGAGGCGCCTATTGCGAAGTCCATGCTACTGAAAGCCCGATTTCAGGTGTTTGACCTGTCCTTGACCCGACCTGTGACCTCAAAATTCAAATTTAAAGTGGTCATCTGAAGCGTCTCGTCGCGTTCTTTCGTTTGCCGCCTCGTGCGTTTCGCTGCGCCTATTGGTTCTCGAGCTATCGGCTGGGGGCGTTTAACGCCCCCCCCCCCAGCAAACGGTGGGTGGCGAAATACCCCAGCAACTGCCGGGTTAAAGGTAACGTGTCAGTTGCTGTTACCAGATGCTCGAGACTGAGGAAGGACGCCCAGAAAAGGAATTTGTACATGAACAGGACAGCAAAAAAGGCCGAAATGAAGGTGTCAAAAGCTCACAAGATATAGCCAACGCAAGGTATTGGGTATTCGTCATTTGGGTCATGACATGACCTGAAGAACAAGGTCATATCTCGGAAACCAAAAACCACAGAAACTTGAAATTTTCAGTGGACATCGAGAAAGGATAGAGGAGCAGCTATACAAAAATCAGGCTTCTAGCTCTAAAAATGTTGAGTGCAGAGCAGAAAAACTAGGTACCTGGGGGGGGGGGGCAACCCCCCCCCCCATGTGCGGGCGAGGGTTAATGACCGGGGAGGGTCTTTAATATAAAAATAATTGTTAAACACCAGTTAAGTTTATATAAAGAGAGCTTTTAAAGGCTACTGCCTTCTTCACAGTGTTCCATTTTTCAGACTTTTTGGTGGCAAATCACACCTAATGGGGAAAATACTTTCATCCCTAAAATATAAATGACCGACTTTACTTCATCTCTGAAAAAAGTTTAATGTATTCCCAACAGCCAGTTTACATGTCACTTGACAGTTGATGCACCCACATCCTCTTGTTTTACACCCTGTCAAGATTCTGACATGAAATCCTGGTTTAGCAGTTGGCATACAAATTGGCATTAGACCATTTTGCAAATATACTTCGGTTATTCATTTCCTTTTTTCTCATCCTAGGATTTTTTTTCTTCATCGGCACACCCAACCAAAATCCAATTTTAGAACACTGCTTCTTCATCAGCCATATTTGCTCAAAAAGTGTTTATGGGAAAGTGTGATATATAAGTGCACAGAAGTACAGTAATACTACTGTTATCTGTGATAAGTGTAAGAATGTCGTGTGGTTACTACGGGTTTTTCGGGGTTTTGATCACGAATACCATGTTAGTTTTGATCACAGATGATGTCTTCATGCATTTAGGCCAGGTCGGATCAGGTAAGGTCAGGTCAACCAGTAGAGGTCCTGCTAGATATTCGTAGTAGGTGTCAACCGCCTCTGACAGCTTCGTAACACATCACAAAGGCACCAAAACTACTTCGTAAGTGTTCAAATGGTTGCTAAATTCGAACTCAGCTAAAAAACTAGCCTAGAAACGTGTAAAAGTCGAAAAAGTTAACCGAGGTCATCAAAGGTCAGTGACCTGACCTAACCTTCAGGTGACCTTGACACTCACCCTAATGCATGGGAGCAACATCATATCACATGTTTGAACGCTTGAAACCACGAAAAGACTGCAAACGCGCGGCTAATGCGACCCGACATACGCCGAATCTCGACTCCGGCCAAACATGGTCTCGAAAAGTTGGTCACAGGTCAAAGGTCATTTGTGCCAGGGTCATGAATTTTAAAGGATATGTGTAAAATTGCTTAACGCGAGGATACTGAAAGTTTCATCGCGATCGGCCGCTTTTTATTAACCCGCGCCCTGATGGGGGGGGGGGCATTTTGGCCCCCCTGTGGTTTTTCTTAAATAGCGAGAAAACGGCGGCGCTTGGCTACCTTACCGGGCATCAATTTGACACCATCACACAAAATTTCAAGTCACAGGTCACCTCAGGTCAGGAGTTATTGAGGTCAAACTGAGGTCATGTTCGAGTAAAAATGATCAAAAAACATGACATCTTGAAATGCTCACCAATTCTACAGTTATTAACAAGCAATTTTAAAGTTCTTTATGTGGTTGTGTAGAGAAAAGACGGCGCTACAAAACTGCTATCTCAGATTTTCGAAATGTTGGGATTTTGATCACCAAAAAATAAAAAAGATTTTTTTTTTAGAAAAACTTAAAAAATTTCCAAAAAAATTTCGAATTTAAAAAAAGGAATATATTTGATAGTCCCTGCGCTCTTCGATATACATACCAAATTTTAGATCGATACCTCTTTTTTGGCCAAGTTATAGCGAAAAAACTGTTAAAAATTGATGACGTCAAATTTTTGAACTCAATTTTTAGAAATTCTAGACCTCGTAGCGCAAAACGGAGACCACCACTGAACTCCCCGTGACGAGCTGCATCGAATCGATACTCATTTTATGCAAAAATAATAACTTTGAAATTTGACCTAATTTGACTTGACCTTGACCTGACCTTGACCTGACCTTGATCAAAACGTGACCTAAGCTGGCCCAAAAGTCTGCCTGACCCACATAATCGCATTTGTCATGTAAAATGGACCATGAAACATGTATCACACGACACTTTCATATTGTGACCCCCCCCCCCCCCCCAGTGACCTGACCTCTGTGACCTGACCTGGTATCAGTGACCTCAAATAGCAAAATATGTGTTTGAAGAACATTTCCCCATCGATGATTTTCAATGAACTGCATTTTACTCGATTTTACAACGCATTTCTTGAAATGCCTGTAAACGGTGAAAATTCGACCTTTGACCTGACCTGTGACGTCATCGGTTTGACCGAGGTCAATGAAATTGGGTCACAAGGTAGTTCCCCGTTGGGGCTATCCAACGCCGTTTACCGCTTGTCGCTATGTTGCGTGGTTCTCGAGATCTTAGGGGGGGGGGGGCAAAATGCCCCCCCCCATCAGACCGCGTTGCTCGGCAGACCCCATCAGGGCGCGGGTTAAGAGTTATTCGCGAAAAGCCGAGGGGGGTCCGTTTGACCCCGCTATAAGTGCGAGGCTTTAAGCGTATCTTCCTGAAAAGCCACTGAACGCGTCGCGGATTGCGGTATTTCACTGACCGTACAAAGGTTCACGTATGACGACATAGGTCAGCGACCTGACCTGACCCGAAAATGCGGTCGATGCAACAAGATCCGGTTTGATACAAAGGTGAAGTGTGTCAACTTTCAGCTCTCTATAGCCGGCGCGTTTTGAGGAATCGCGAAAAACTGTCTGGGGGTGTGGCACTCGTCCCGTCTCCATGTATATAAAGACAAGCCCGTCCCCCACTTTTCGGGTGGAGTTTTATATTTTGGCCGTAAAAAGGTCATCAAAATGACAGCAGTCCACACAATGCCGGCAGCATCTCCTTTCTTATGGCTTTACTTATGTTCCAGGTCAGTCCATCGTCGCCTCTACTGGAGTCCTCTGCCAGTCGCAGTGTGTTGTGCTGTAGTGCAGCGGGGTGAGCCGCTCAGCGCCTGTGGCGGCCATGGCCGGCCTGGTGGGCTCCGTGGACGCGGCCGCGCCGCCGGCCGACGTGATCGGCTCCTCTGAGCGGCGCAGGGAGCTCGGCCAGCGGCTGGACGAGCGCCACCGCGAGCGGCTAGAGTCGCAGGCGCAGCGGCGCTCCGAGCGCACCGCCGGCGCCGCCCAGGCCGAGCAGGCCGACCACTTCTGGGCGGCGCTGGAGCGCGAGGAGGCGGCCGCGCGCGCCGAGCTGGCGCTGCCGGACGGCGCCGACCGGGCGGCCGTGGGCGACGCGCTGGACGCGGCCAGCCGCCGGCTGCAGAGCGTGCATCGGTTCATCGCCGACTCGGCCGCCTTTCTACCGGCGTTCGAGCTGCGCCGGGCGCAGGAGCGCGCCCGCCAGCTGCAGCAGTTCGTACAGCAGCGCCAGGACCAGCTGGTGCCCCGCAAACGGTTCGGCTTCCGCGGCCAGCGGGCGGCGCGTGCCGAGCCGCGCCCGGCCGAGGCGGCGGCGCCGACCGAGCCGGCGACGGGAGCGGACCCGGCCGCCGCCGCCGACCAGTGCGGCTTCAGCGGCCAGACGGACGCGCGCCTGGCGCTGGGTGGCGCGGCCGTGACGGGCCGCGACGTGACGCTGACGTGCCTGACGCGGTGCACGGTGCGCGTGACGGGCGCGCCGGCCACGGTGCACCTGTCGCACCTGCGCGACTGCCGGCTCCTGCTGGGCCCCGTCACCAGCTCCGTGTTCCTGGAGGACTGCCAGCGGTGCACGCTGGCGGCCGCCTGCCAGCAGCTGCGCGCCCACACCAGCGCCGACTGCGACCTCTACCTGCACGTCACCAGCCGCGCCGTGGTCGAGCACTGCCAGCGGCTCCGGTTCGCGCCGTACACGCTGACCGGCGCGGACGTGGCGGCGGACTGGGCCACCACCGGCCTGGCCGCCGACACCAACAACTGGAGTGACGTGGACGACTTCAACTGGCTGTCCAAGGCGCAGCCGTCGCCCAACTGGAGCGTGCTGCCGGAGGCCGAGCGGGTCACCGACTGGGACGGGCCGGCGGGCGGCGCCGAGAGCCGGTGAGCCGCGCGCCCACAGTGGGGAGTCATTCCGACCGGCAGAACGCACTATGTGATTACGCCATGCCGTCCGCCGTCAGACTGGGCTCTCGGCGCCCATTCTTGGCTTTGCCAGCTGTAAACTGGTGTATGTTCGATTGCACTGGGATAGTCGCCTAGTCATTGCGTTGCAAAACTGTGTCAAGCAACTGATATAACAATAGTTTTTGCTGATGTATTAGCATTGCCAGGTGGATACATCTGCCGTCCAAAGGCAAAAACGCATATGTCGGGTCATGACCTGACCCGACACATGCGGTTTTGCCTTTGGACGGCAGACATGTCCTCGGTTCAATTCGATATACGATACGATTACCGTGATTGAATGCGACAATGGCACTTAACAATGACTTATAAGGTCCGGCATTCGGAAACGTCGCATTCTAGGCACTTGATAAGCTAATTACATATAGATGTTAACAAATAACGATAAATGCCTTTTGTGCAAAATAAACAACAGCTCAATCGATTGGGATATGGTGTAGTAAAAACAGAAGCACTGCAGCTCGCCACACCACAGCTATCGTCCGGAACTCAACTACTGTGCACCAATGGTGTCATGCACGGTCGATCATGTCCAGCAGGTCCGCCTATCCTTTAATGGGACTAGTGTGATCAGAAATCAGAATGGCATGGTTCTGTTCGGGTTGGGTATGTAGCCGTTGTACATCTGTCGGTCGGGCCGGCCAGGCTCAGTCCGAGGGTCCCGTACCCCCCGGCCAGGCTCAGTCCGAGTCCTGGACGTCGATCAGCAGCTCGGTCTCGGCCGGCGGCCCGCGGGCGGCTCCGTCCGCTCCCTGCTCGGGCCCTGTGTGGTCCCCCGGCTGCGGGCACGGCGGCTCCGGCTCAGCGGCCTCCTCCGCTGGCGCGGGGGACGACTCGCCGCTGTCCTCCCGGCCTGCCGGGCTCGGCTCGGCCCTGTCCTCCAGGCCAGGGCCCGGTGCGCCAACCGTCTCAGCCTGGAAGGGGTGGCACGGACCAATACCTTAGAACACTGAATGAGTGGAACGATGAGCATTTGATCGTGGTATGACAGTTTGACGTTTGTGAAAAGCGATATTGTGCAATATATGTGTTCACATTATCGCTTTTCACAGAGCATTTGATCATTCATATCATACAGTACGCACGTAAGCATTATTCAACAAACACGTTTGGAACAAAACTGAGACATTGCGGCAGCCGCAAACGGCCGACACCGGAGCGTTTTGGCCGGACTGTTCCGTTGAGCTTGTATCCCAGCGCCCGCCCTCTGGTCCGGCTGCTCACGTTTGTTCCGGCCGCCGTGATCACGGGCACGCCGAAGAAAGGGTTGGCCACCGACTTGCCGTCGGGAGTGACGCAGAGGGCGCTGCTGGGCGCCAGCAGCGTGGCAGGCACCTGCGGGGGGGGGGGGGGGGGGCTGATTACATCCAGCACGGCAGGCAGAACATTTACACCTCGTGCTGTCTACAGCACGGGAGGAAAGGTCATTGGACCCTACACCAGCCGTAGGCGGGAGTGAGGGAAGGACATTCCACCTCACACTGTCCACAGCGCAGTGCTCTGTACATCGTTCGAACGGGGAGGAAAGGACCTAAGGATCTACCCCCACCCGGTCCGTGGTACATACTCGCTGCTCAGTGCTGGTCAAATTCTAAGGATTCTCGACAGCGACACTCGGCTCTGGCAGGCTCCTGTGGGGGGGGGGGGGGGGGGGGCGCGCACTTACGTGGTCGTCCAGTTGGGAGTTTCCGAACAGGGGGTTGTCGAAGGAGCGCGGCGCCTTGGGCGGGGCGGCGGCGGGTGGCGCGGCGGACCCGGTGTCGGGCTCGCTGGAGCCGGCGGTGTGGACCGAGGCCGAGTCGTGCGCAGAGTCCAGCTCCTCCACACGCTGGCCCAGCTCCACCTGCGGCGGCCAGAGAGCCAGTGGTAACGGTGACGATACGCCGCCGGCTGGCTCACTGCCAGGACGGGGGAGGGCAGCGCAGACAGACTATCGGGACACTACCATTAGGTCAGTGAAGAACTTTCATACTTGTGCATTCCTGGCGAAAAGTTATTTGGCACAAGCTTGGCTGTGCGTAGTTTACAGAAGATGCTTAATTGATTACACATATTACAACGTAACACTTGAGCCATGAGCCCGCCTGCCCTGTCTGGCAGACGCAGCTGGTCGCACTACCCCCTGGCTCTGGCTCTGTACGCCCGCGGAGAAGACTGACTCGCCTCTGAGCCGCACGTGCTGTTGCGGAACCTGGCGAAGTGGAAGGGCGCGGCGGCGGCGGCGGCCAGCCGGCGGCGCACGGCGGGCAGCTGGCCGGCCAGCGCGGCCGCCCGCTCCGCCACGTGCCACTGGGATGGCGGCGGCGGCAGACGGAGCCGCTCCCTGCTCGGCAGACTCACACTGCCGCACACGGCGCAGACGGGTCAGCCGTGGGGCGGCAGAACTACACCACTCAGCACGGCAGAGGTGTGCAATAACAACCGTTCGAGAGGCAGTGACGGGACGGTAGCACAGGGGGGGGGGGGGGCATGCTGGTCCACCAATCAGGTATCGCTGCGGATAGTGGACTTGGCGATGCACACGATCACAACAGGAACTAAAAAACGGCTCGCTTCTGTGAACAAACGGGTAGTGCGCGTGGCAACAGTTCACTATAGATAACCATATACCAACTGCCTGTCCGCATACACCAGCTGGCTGTCTGGGGGCCACTGACCGTTTGGTCCTGACGGCCCAGACGAGCAGCGCGGCCACCACGGCCAGGACCACGGTGGCCAGCACGGGCCCGGCGGCCGACCGCCCGCCGCCGGCGCCCCCGCCGCCGGTCAGCGCGGCGTGCCGGGGCCCGGAGACGTGCACCTCCGGCCCGGACATCCCCGGCTCGGCTGCACAGACACGGATGGGGAAGACAGGAGAGGCATACGTCAGTCACGACGGCTGAGACGGGGAGATGAAAACTTGTGAGTTTAAATATGGCTAAAAAAACTATTATCAGACAAATATATCAAGCCTATATCAATAACATTAATAACATCAAGCCTACGAAGCCGCACAGGGGTTAACTATCACGAGTCCGGTGGCGCAGTTTGTCCCACCACCCCACTGCCGAGCCCCCGCAGCTCGTCCGTGCCCACTGACCGGCCAGCCGGTCGGCCAGCTCCCGGGCCAGGCGCGCGCTGTCGGTCCGCTCCGTCTGCGCGTCCACCAGCACGGCCTGCAGACGGCCGGCGTGGGTGGCCGAGACGTGCCAGCGCACCGCGCCCGAGCCGCGGAGCTGCCGCACCAGCCGGCGCAGAGCGGCCGCCGCCGCGGGCCGCCCGGCGCTCGGTGTTACCCGCACCACGGCTCCTGGGGCGGGGCGGGGCGGGACTCACGGTCAGAGGGCGGGGAGGGAGGCGGGGCGAGCAGCGGGCACATCCGGACGGATGGCGGTGGCTATGTGCCGGCGACTGATGGGAGGGACACACGGCCAGGTCATCCAGCCATTGATGGACCTAGTGGGAGGTAGAATACAGAATGTCAGACGTCAGTGTCACCGACAGACCGATAAAACACGGCGGTTAAAGAACTGAAAACCGCCAACATCAGACTATCTCCTATCAGCTATCATTACACTACACAGGTGCCACGTCTACATCAATTAGTGGTGACCTCGCGGCTGTCCCCTACCCGCCGCCCGTGGGCCGTGGCCCACCTACACAGCATCACTGATGGTCGGAGTCTGTTCGGTCGCTCACCGCACATGGGACAGCAGTGGCCGACTGGCTGCACAGGGTCGCTGCACGGCGCCTCGCCACACTCGGTGGCCGCGCAGATCACCGAGAGCATCTCGGGGCGGTCGTTACCGCACGCGCACTCCTGCCAATAACACAAAAATGCTCAGCCGGAAAATACGCGTACGGTCACCCCTACAGAAAAATGGAGGGCACTCAGCCCCCGCAGCAGCACGAGAGAGCAAAAATGAAGGAATACAAAGGCAAGAAAATAGGTGGCGATGCCTGAGGAAGCATGAGGAACGTGCTGCACACACCGGGATCGTCCAAACGAGGAGCTTCCTGTCAGACATGGGCACGGATCCCAGACGACCAAACACGAAAATCAAAATGACCACTAGATTAGTGGTCTTAAAGCGTGGAATTATTGTGGAAAACATAGCTAATAGATGCCTCTCAACGAACCAACTATTTTGCATTCCCTCAGTGCTTACAGTTTTCAGAAAATCCCTCAAGATCCATCTCGGATCCACGATCACGAATCATGGATCCGAGATGGATCTTGAGGGATTTACTCAGAACTGTTAACTCTGAAGGAATGCAAAAAAGTTGGTTCATTGAGAGGCTTCTATTAGCCATGTTTTCCATCATAATTTCATGCTTGAAGACCGTCAATCTAATGGCCATCTCGATTTCCGTGATTGGTTGTCTGGGATCCGTGCACATGTCTGCTTCCTGTTTCAATTCTAAGCAGGAATAATCACTTTGAGGTTTAAGAGCCTATCGTCTCCACATTACAGCACTGCCTGATTACAGAGAAGCTCTCTTATTTAATCGAGCGCTAGAGCACGGTGAGCAAAGCAACAGAACTACCGTAATGGCGGTCTGTGAGTAGTGAGTACCCAACTACCCACCCACGCGCCGCGGAGCTGCGTCTGTACCGCGGCCTTCGCTGACTCCCATGATGTCGGTACGCACTCCCATGCAGCTGCGCTGTGGCTCACCTCTATCCCGCAGGCTCGGCCGACTCCCGTAATGTTGAAGCCGGCCCGCACGTCAAACAGGGACCTGCCGACGGTGGTGTTTCGGAACGTCCGAAACCGCGCGGTGTCCATCGCCTGGAACCGGGGGCGGGGGGGCGCGGCGTCATCTCACTGTGCGCTGGTCGGCAGCAGGGGCCGCCGGGCGCAGCGGACCGACAGTCGGACACCAGGGGTCACTGCTGAGCGGGATCAGCTGAGCGGTAACAGCGAATACACGTCTCCTCTCCTTAAAAATGACTGGAAGAAAAGTTTATCTGTACAGTATTCAGGCATTACATCAACCACTCTTACCCTTCCTAACGCCCGTGCACCCCCCGAGGACAGGAGACGTGTAAGCCTATAGCGCTCCTCTCCTCCCCCTCGGCAGGGACTCACGTGCGGTCCGACTCTGAGGGCGCTCACGGTGACGGCGCGCTGCACCTGTACCCGGTAAGTGATGTTCTCCGGGAACCGGACCGAGTCGCCGCCGCTGGCACACGGCACACGCTCCGAGTGCGGCACCGGCGACGGGCGCGCCGCCTGGCGCCACGAGCCGGCGTCCATCCAGCGCGCCGCCGAGCCGCCGAACTGCACCGTGCTGCCACCTGGGGAGCGGGGGGAGAAACAGGCGGTCGGGTGGCCGAGGCGGGTACAGTGTGGGAATGGTCACCTTGTTGGTACTGTGGGATTGTCACATTGTTAGTGAGCGAGATGAAGTAGTGGTGACTGGTGCGACCGCCACCACACACAGATCGGGACGAGACTACATGTGAAATTTAATATCGCTGACGGAGCGAGATGCTGCCATCTACAACGCACAATGCATCAATCACACCCATCAGTGAGCTACCTCCCGCACGCTGGTGCCATTGAGACATGTCATGTGTGTTTTTTTCACATCAGATTCAGCACCCTGTTCACAGCCCATACGGCGGATCGGTGGGTCTCAGCTCTCACCAGTGCCGCGGCAGCGACTGTCGGCCGGGGCTGGCCGGTCGGCGAAGGCGACGGACGCGCCCTCCCCGAGGATGATTTCGCCGTTAGTGGGCAGCACCATCGTCCGGGCCTCGAACTGTTCGTGCAGGTAGACCTGAAGAGGAGTAGTGGAACCGTCAGAATCGTCACAGACGGCCATTTCAAACGTAGTGTATAATCATATTCCCAAGTGCATCGGAAGAGAGCCAAGACGACCGAGGAGTGAGGACACGGCCCCAGAGTTCAGCAGGTACTCAGTTCTCACCGCCAGACTGTCGGGCAGGAGGGCCACCTGGCCAGCGCACGGCCGCCGACCGCCCAGCCAGTCGCGCTGCGAGTCCATGCTGAGCTGGCGGCCCCACACCTTCAGCGAGGCGCAGACCGGCGCCGGCACCAGCGCCGCTGAAACACGATACCGGGTGCGGGGGAGAGCGGACGGTCAGTCTACACTCTACGACATATAACTGAGGGATATTTCATTAACCGTCACTTGTTAAAAGCGCGATCGGTCATTCCATGGTGTAGGTAGGCATCTCAGGGGATTCACGAAATATGCTATACCTACACATGATTTAAGACTTGCTCCTTATTACAAGATAGGCAAATTCGTCATTTACGGGGAGTCGGGGACACCACGCGCCCTGTTAACCCTTGCCGGCCGAGGGGGGCGGGGGCGGGTGCCGCCCCCCATAGGGTTTTTTCGCGATAGCTCCGAACCCGCTGGCGATAGAGAGCTGAAACGTGGCATACCTGACCTTTGATTCAAGCCGGATCTTTTAACACCAACCGCATTTTCAGGTCAGGTCAGGTCACTGACCTATGACGTCATAAGTGAACCTCTGCACGGTCTTCAGATGTCGCAAATTCGCAACGCCCTCACTGCCAGAGGAGATGTCACAGGGAAATGAAACTTGCAGGGTCTAGTATCCATTATGAGTCCCACAACTTGTATATCTCGGATTTTTCCTAAAGGTCATATGAGGTCAGGCCATTTTCGTGACCTCACCATTATAAGTCAATGGGGAAAAATGAAAACTGCTATTCTGGCGCCGGGAACGATCTCCAACTATCTCAAGCACACATAATCGTGATTTGATGCACTCCTTGCAAGGTTAGATGCGTCACTTTTGCAATTTTGACCTTGCGTGACGTCATTTATGACGTCATCAAGGTCGTATTAGTTTTTCGTCAATAACTCTTGATCAAATTGAGCTAGCGAGTCGGGAAAGCCACCAATGGACTCAGGAAGACCTGCCGAATCGAATGATATGCGACATGACATCTTTCGACCAACTTCGTGACCTGGGTGTGCTGACCTGACCTTGACCTGAGGTCAACACCCTAAGTTGACCTGACCCGAACAAAAAGTATATCATTCGACGCGCCTGAGCGAGGCGAACACGATGCTGCCAAAATCGCGGCTCTGCGGCCGTTTTTTGCGAAGTTATTCACCAAAAACTGAACCGTACCTTGGGGCACTTGACCTGACCTCAGAGGTCACCGGTTGACCTAGGACCTTAAAATCGGATACCAATCTCTGCGTCTCGTAACGGCGCACACGCTCGTTTTTTTCCGCGACGCGCTAGCTCCACCAGGGGCGAAACGGCGAGGGGGGTCTTACCGGCCCCCTCCCCCCCCCCCCCCGGCCGGCGCGTATGTAGAAAACCAATAGGTCCGGCGAGGGTTAAATGAAACGCATGACACACATACTTCCCTTTACTTCCAAGCAGGGTGACGAAAAAATTAGATAATGACAAGAGATTGTTTTGAAACCTGTTCTTCGACGGAAAGCGTAGGATGGCATTTGGAGGATTTGCCTCTCCCGCATCGTCCAAAATTGACGAAAAGCCATCTTTTCTCGGTTATCGGTTTAGATAAAACTAAACAACTTTGAAAAATGAATTGTTTTACACTGCATTGCAACGCCAGGGGAAGTACCCCGCGGAACGGGGGGGGGGGGTGACAGGCGAGTAACGCCCATGAACCCACTGTCAGTCGCTGATCCCTGTTCAGCGAAGTTTACAAAAGCGTGGTGCAGGGCGTCGCCGATGGTCAGTTTGGCATATCAAATCGAATTAGGTTGCGTGCACGGTGCAAAATGCTACCGTTCATATCTAAATGGCTTCAGTCTTTACCTGCAGGAATTAGTAAAAATACTTTTCACCCGAACTATAGGATCAACATTGCGCCCGAGCCGGATCCGGATTCTGCGGAGGAATTATATAAAGATAGGCACAATTACTTGGGGCATCCGGACCTGCTGCCTTACCTGATATCAGCAGCAGTCCGGCCAGCGTCACGCACGACATCCTCTTACCGAGCGCTCACGCACAGCCAGGAAGGCCCCGCTCGAAACTTTACGAACGCCGCGACCGGACACCGGCCACTCAACACTGGCACCGGGCTATAAAGGATGCGTGGCGCTAGGCATAGAACAGAGAATAGGCACATACGCAATGAGCACTAGGCGTCGAGCCCTTGACTCGCGGCACTGGGCCGATCACTGTGTGGAGTCCTGGCGCGGACCACTGTGTGCACGGAGAGCAGTTTGCTGCGCGCTGGCTACGTGTGTCGTTCACTGAGACCGGTGGCGCGGTGGTGGGCGGCGTGGGTGACTGCCGTAGCCAGCGAGATCGGCACGCGGTCCCCCGTAATACGATATGAGGCCGCGCGGCGGTGACGGACGGCACACGGCGCGGGCCGGCACCAGCCGCTGGACGGCCTCACTGCACCGGCCAGAGTCAGAGTCGGAGCCGCAGCGAGCCGAACCGCAGCCGTACTCGGACTCTGGGACCGACGGCACGGGTTAACGGGCACATACATATGGTCGGTACGGACTGACAGTACGGATTGACGATACGGATGGTCGATACGAATTGACGATCCGTATACCTATTGTCGGAACAATCATGGGTTGACGGCACGGGATGACGACGACAGCACGAATTAAAAGGACCGAAAGCATAGGGCTCGTGGAATGGACTGGCGGCCGACAATTGCACTTCGCTGCCCGAAACTAATGGTATCAAACAACAGGTGCGGAATATCATGGACTTGTTTCGCATATGAGAAAAACTCGATGTGGTTATGAATGGGAAAGTCAAATCTCTTTAATCACACTCTGAAAATAAGTAAAAAGAATACAAATACACAATGATAAAGCTACGGAAGTTCTTGTAATCTGAAACAAAACGGCGAATTTCGCGCCGCGCCGCCGTGTGCGCGTCAGTCGGTACGCTTAGGTATGACAATGTGTGACCTAGGTACACTATAGGTAGTGTAGGTACTTAAAGATAGGTAGGGTACTAGACGCAAGACCTACAAAAATAAGGAACTGAGGAATTATGGCGGTCGAG